CATGAAACAGATCAGCAGCAACATGAAACAGATCAGCAGCAACATGATGTGATTTTTCACAGTGATTATTCTAGTTAGAGATTCATGAGTCTAACAGCCTCAGGGTAGAAGCTACATATAGATACAAGATACACACATATACACACATATATACACACACATATATATATATATATATATATATATATATGTTTATTTAATATATAAATGTTTTCTGTCGTCAGGAACGAAGACCTGAAGGAGATGCTGGAGAGCAACAAGGAGTCCCTGAAGCTGGAGGCCATGAAGAGGATGGTCCAGGTGAGAGCAGCCGGACACGTTGTGTCTTCAGCCGGCTTCAGCGCTCCTCACACGTCCATCTTTCACTCTTGCAGCTCATTTCCAAAGGAAGGAACGCGTCCGACTTGTTTCCTGCTGTTGTGAAGAACGTGGCGAGTAAGAACATCGAGGTAGGACACGTTAAATCACTTGGACTGCAGCTGTGAAAGAACAGCACACAACTGTCAGGGCCGTCAGCGTCTGCAGAGAAGTCCTAACGTTACCTACGTTTTATTTAGTCTTGATATCACTAATTCAGTTCTATGACTAATTTCTGCCTTTTTCTGTAAACTACCCATATGTCCCCCCCCCCCCCCCCCAGGCTGGCCCCCCAGGCTGGCCCCAGCTGTTCAACTTTTAATTCAGTCGTTTCGTCCCCCGTAGAAGAATGAGCAGAACTTTGGGCACTTTTCAGCTTCTTGTTGATTCAAGAAGTTAAAATCTTTGTTCTTCCACCTGGAACGAGTTTCTTGATGCTGGAGAGGAGCTCGCAGGGAGTAGGCTCGTCCTCGTGCACACTTTCTGGTTCTGAAGGTCCAACAGGTCGACCTCCGTTGATCTGGTCCTGGTGCCGTCTCTTCCTGACAGAGACTGACACTCTTCAGGAATAGCATAAATGTTGGTTATGACTCATAACCAACATTTATGATACTAGTAAAGAATGTTTGATGTTTGGGGTCCTGAGGGGGCGCAGCAGCTCGTCACACGCTGTGGGAGCAGGTGTGTGTGTGGGACGGGGGGGGGGGGGGGGGTAATTGGAAGGAGAGCGTCCAGAGTCACATCTGGTCTCTGGCAGCTCGTCCACCAGTTGGTCACGATGTCTCTCTTGTCTCTCGGCTCGTTCTCTACAGTAACGCTGTAAAACGGGCTCCTGGTTTCCATCACCCCCTGAACGCACCGCGATGACCCACAGTAATTGTTGCCCACGCATCAGAACACATGGACAGTGGGGCGTGAGCTCATATCGGTACCTTTAATTAGTTCTGAAAACCTGAACGTACTTCAAACTTGACGTGTTTTGTGTTTGGTTCGTTCTTAGTCTTGGAGCACCAATGAAAGTTTCAGCATCTGTCCTGCTGCCAGAGGTTCAAACCACAACGATGTTGTTGACAACTAACTGTGTCGGTTGTGGTCAGACCTTAAAAGAACTTGAAGCACAGTCTTGTGATGTGGTGAGATGCTGTGCTGAGCGATTCTGTCCAGAACGTTCTGAACACAATGAGTGTCCAGCCATTTAGACCAGTGGTTTTACTGAGCATTGATTCAACTGGTAGATGTGAGTGTCATCTGCGTAGAAGTGATGTTAACGTTTCCAAAGATCGCCAGTGAACAATGCAGCAGACACGTTGTTTGGAACAAGGGAACGTTCCAACAGACAAAAAGATCTAAACTTCATCAAACTGCTGTTGATCTGATGGACCTTCTGCTGAGGCTCCGAAGGTCCTGACTCTGAAGGTCCAGACTCTCTGAAGGTCCAGACTCTCTGAAGGTCCAGCTGAAGGTCCAGACTCTCTGAAGGTCCAGACTCTGAAGGTCCAGACTAGCTGCCTAACCTCGACACAGACAACCAGCCCGTCTTTGAAGACACGAGAAGATTCACCTTGCTGCTCAATCTTGATCATTTAATGCCATCAGTCAAAGGCTCGTGGTCACATTAAACTAGGCATGACCTCAGACCCAACACTTCAAGACTAGAAGAAAACTAACTTCCTGGTTCAACAAAGTCCATGCTCAATAATCCAGGTATACAATTCAACAACTTCCTGGTTCACGTCAACACTTGCTCTTGTCAGGGTGGACACGTTCCCTCCTCTCCCTCTCCACTTTGCTCTGTCGTGTCTGTGAAACTGCTTCAGAGCCTCTCGGAATCTACTGAACCGTACAGTTTTGCTCTGGATCTGGTCAGCTGGTCTCTCAACACAAGGGATAACATTTTCTCGACGAGAAGACAAGCGCCAAGGAGGCACTGGATTTATGAAAACTGGTTTCCTGCTTTTTGGATTTGACTGGTCCTGGTCTATCAACAAACAAGGAAGTGGTCGGCAGCAGCTTTGTCCCTGCTCAGACTGTCTGCGTGTGTCCACTTGATTTGGACGTTTGGGATTTGAGAGGACCAGCAAAGACTCGAGGCAGACATGAGTTAGTAAAGTTCTGCCTGTTCCCAAAACAATTGTTGCTTATCTGAATTCAGCTCCTCGGCTGGTCTTGACTGGTCACCTTATCTCAGTTCACCTGGAGGTCCTGTAAATCGACGCTCTGCCCCCTCCCACCGAGGAAGTCTGCAGACCTATGAGAAGGACCGGCTGTATGAACATTGTGTCATCGTTTCTGGACTCTCAGATTCTCTCTGGTGCTGTTCCAGGTCGACCTTGGCACCGAGTGTTTCTGGATCTCACCAGAGGACCTGACTGATCGTACCATTCTTACCAGAACTCCTGCAGGGTCTCTGGAGTGTCCGTGACACGATCACTGCTCTTGTCGTCTCCCCTCCCCTGCAGAGTGTCTGCGTCACCATGTTCCTGCGTCGCAGGATGTTTTTTCAGGATCAGGGACTTTCTCCTCGAACAAGGAGAAAGAGTTTGATAAGATGTTTTTTCCTCCAGATCCTACTTGTGTCACGTTCACTACTTTCTGTCCGTCCAAACAGGTCTCACTTGTGAATGAGTCTTGGAGGCTCAATGTGATTTATCTGTGTAAATAAAGGTGGATGCTTCTCACTCCTGTCCAAACTGGCCAACACTAAAGGAGGCACAGGCTTTACATTTGGACCACTCCACAGCTGAATGCTGCGCTACGGTTTGGTGCAGACCCACTCATGCTAAAATGTGGATCCCAAGCTCGACAAGGCGTGCCTCATCGTACCAGGGACCCTGCAGCACCCTCTGGACACCCACACCAGCCCAGGAAAAGTTGAACATCCACAAGTCTAACAATAAACGTAACGGGCAGGAAAAGATTGGCGTTGTTGAACTGGGCAAGAACCGTTGTCAGAAAGACCAGAAGCAACTTGTCAAAATGGGAGCAATGAGCTCCCAGTCCAGAGCCTGGAGCTCCTTTGATCTTCCTGCAGCCCTGGTGTGGTAAACACCCATTAATCCAGTCCACCTCAGCTAATCTAACGTTCAGTGTGGCGTCTGCAGACCTCTGGCAGCAGATGTCCTTTGGCTTCACAAGTCCATGTGCAGCAAACCCAACATCCACGTGCACGGACGTACACGAGCTAAACACCGAGACTGTAGTGGGCAGAGGAGACGCAAACAGCAGCACGATCTTGTACTGGTCCAAAACATTTACACTGTGTGGACGTTCACATCCATCCAGTGGGTCATGAGATATTTTGCTAACACACAAACTGGGTTGACTTCAGTAATGAGTCCGCGCTAAACAAAGATCTTGTACTCTTAAGTAGCGCTTGGAGCAGGTGTTGTGAATGACTCTCAGCTACTACCAACCAAATTTTAGCTCATTCTGTGTAAAATGGCAGCCATTTTTGTGGCTGTGGTGGCCATCTTGAAATCTGTTGGCGTCAACTGGTAACTAAGACTGGGCGGTTTCTTTATGGGTATAAAATACAAAATACAAAGTATAAAATACAAAATACAAAGTATAAAATACAAAATACAAAATATAAAATACAAAATATAAAATATAAAATACAAAATATAAAATACAAAATATAAAATACAAAATATAAAATATAAAATACAAAATATAAAATACAAAATATAAAATACAAAATATAAAATATAAAATATAAAATATAAAATACAAAATACAAAATATAAAATATAAAATACAAAATACAAAATATAAAATATAAAATACAAAGTATAAAATACAAAATACCAAGTATAAAATACAAAGTATAAAATACAAAATACAAAGTATAAAATACAAAATACAAAGTACAAAATACAAAATACAAAGTACAAAATACAAAGTATAAAATACAAAATACAAAGTACAAAATATAAAATACAAAATACAAAGTACAAAATATAAAATACAAAATACAAAGTATAAAATACAAAATATAAAATACAAAATACAAAGTATAAAATATAAAATACAAAGTATAAAATACAAAATACAAAGTATAAAATACAAAAT